ATTTGTGTCAAATGCTGTCATTTGAAAAGATAAGGACAGAGACTGAACAGTTGAAGCGGACAATGTGAAGGCAGTTTCCATGGAGTGCTGGAGACAAAGCCATTCTGAAGAGAATGGAAGGCCAGAGAGACAAGAAAAGACAACGCTTTTGAGGAGTCTCTCCCCAAAGGTGAGTGAAGAAAATGGGACATGAGTTGGCAGAGGATGTGGGGCCGCTGCAGAGGGGTTCATTAGGACCAGTGAGAGTAACCAGGGGAGCGAAGTCACTGTGCGCAGGTAGAGCTTCCGGAACAGACAGCCATCCCTTGGAAGGAGATGGAAGGCAGGCAGGCCAAGAGCTCGGGTAGAAATAGCGCGGGTGGAGAACTCTGATTAACCTTGTTGTTTCCAGGGAAATAAGAAGTGAATTAATCCACTTGTGAGTGTAGATGGAGGAAGGCACTGCAGGTTTGCAGAGCTTCAAGAACAGCACAGGAGTCTCCGAGAGTGAGAAGCGCTAGCCTCCTTCCAGGCCCGGGGCTGCAGAAGCCGAGGGGGCTGAGCTGGGTGAAGACAGGGGTGAGGGTAAAGACGTGCGGCAGGGGAGAATGTGCGCGAACACGGAGTCAGCGCCATGGGCCCGGCAGTCTGAGTCAGGTAGAGAGGCCAAAGCCAACCTGAAAAGGTGAGTGAGTGGGAAGGTTCGGTGGGAGTATTTTGGAGGTCCTGGTGCTGAAGAGGGGCTCAAGTCAGAGAACAGAAGGGAGCGAACAAGAACGATAGAAGGTGGTGGTCTGAGGATTCGCTGCTGAAAACCGAGAGCTGCTTTTCGGTAGCAGGTGAAGAGTCTGGTAATCACAAAGTCTAAGGCTAAGGTGGGATAAAGCATTTGAGGCGAGAGGGTCAGGGCCAATGTACTGAACAGAGTATGTCTGTCAATGACTTCTGGTTTTGCTCTCACATCTACTAAATTTTTTTGAAAAACTGTGTGTGTGTGTCCTCTCAGACATATAATTTGACCTCTAAAATGTTTCATCATAAGCTTACATGAGTGCAAAAAATAGAAATTCTGGCATATTGTCTACACCAGCATTTTATTTGTTTGTTTGTTTGTTTGTTTGTTTGTTTGTTTACTAAGCTCTACGCCCAATGTGGGGCTGGAAGTCAGGACCTCAAGTTCAAGAGTCGCCTTTTCTACCTACCGACTGAGCCAGCCAGGTGCCCCATACCGGCATTTTAAAATAAAACCATTACATTACTCAAATATATTCAGTGGAATATAAATACTATACATGTAAAGGTACCAACAGAGAAGAGTTTAACACTCTTTTTCCCCTGAAATTATATATCCATTCCAGTTCACCCACAAAATAGTATCCTAATGATGCATTCTTTATTCTTAAGAATTGTTTGACTACCCACTTATACTTCTTTGCAACAAAAATATGCTTCTCAGTTAAAAACTTTCTGAATTGTTAGTATTAAAATTACTAGTGCACAATTGATTAGAACATTAAAAAATTGATAACTTATTAAAAATAAGTAAAACTGTGGAAAGCATGACAAAGATTTGGGAGTGAGTTTTATGTGCTTTGAGAAAGGAGATGTCCCGATATCAGTTATTTCAGATGTTCCCCATGTTCAAATGTTCCCCAAAGATTCCCCAGAAACGAAAAATTTGAGGCAACTGGATGGATTGCTCTCTAACCTAGCACGGTGATCAAGACTATCATGAAGCAATGGGAGTAAAAAGCTGATGCTCTTTCATTGTTTAAAAAGAATTTATGGCACCCCTGCAGTTTGGAAAAACTTGACGTGATGCTTCAGAGCACGATGATGGTAGGTCGAGAACTTTGCTCTTTTTTCTTTTTCTTTTCTTTTTTCTTTTCCTTTCCTTTCCCTTCCCCTCCCTCCCTCCTTCCTTCCTTCCTTCCTCCCTTCTCCCCTCCCTCCCTATTTCTTTTCTTTCTTTTTCTTTTTCTCTTTCTCATCGATTACTGCTTTAGCTTAATCTTCTGGTTCTAGGAATAATTTACTTATCTTATTCCTCATGGCTATTGATCTCTCCGAAGACCCCAACTAATAACAATGTGAAACAAATAAAAGGATTTCCTACTCTCTCAACTAAACTGTGCAGAAACGGTAAATTTGGAACTCTGCCAGTTACTGCCTGGAGTTATAAGTCTTGGGCAATTGGCTACCCCTTTTCTCCAGAGGCCCTGTGCCTCATACACAATTTAGATTTTAGTTCTGTCTACAGAAAGTATTTCCCTACCCTTTCATAGAAATTTCTGGCCATGACATTGGTTAAGAAATTCTGCCTTTTCAGCAAATGCATTTTACAGAAACAAATTATATTACTTTGAAATAACAATAAAAATCTCCAAGGACAACAGTTTACTCGATCTTTATAGTTTCTAGAGCCAAAGGGGTATCACGACCTTAAATCCTAATAAATGTCGAGCCCACTGGGACCACAAAATTTTCCCCAGAGGTCAGTTCTCACATCATTGACTCATATGGTAATAATAAAATATGGCTTGGGTTCAGATCTTTATTATTACTTGCTCTTTGTTGTCCATGCTTTTCCCAGAAACGGGTACAAGATTATTAACAGTGGTCTCTTCTGGAATTTCTCTGATCAAATATGAACGTTATAGCTCCTTTGTACCTAAGAAATCTAGGCCAATTTTACCAATCAAGAAACTGAGCACAATACTTTCAAGGTTGAGCTAATAGGGCTACATAACCCAGTTATATTTGACAGATAATTCTTACTTGAACGATAGTTATTTGTTGTATCAGATTCCTTTAGGAAGGCTAAATTCCTAAAACTGCCTAACAGACAGGAAGAAGGTACAAGTCCCCGTCCCTGAGGCCTTTGAACAGTGGTACAAATGGTATCAAGAATATTGAGGCTTGTAGGAAAGAGGGGCTGGGGTGTAACTCCCTATACAGCATCATCACCCAAAACATCTGAATATGATCCTTTCACGGTATAGTTTAGGGGCAATCGTCTCAAAAAGTTGGAAAGACCTCTTACTTCCTCAGGGTACGAGGAGGCATTACAGGGCAAATGTGGCAAGATTTCTCAAAAGTCTATCATGTACCTTTTGAATCTCTAAGAGTAGGGGTATCACATGCCAAATACCCCAGCTTCTTTTGGGTAGAAGAGCATTCCAGGATCCATGGAACACTTTAGGAAAACTCTGGTCTGGAATATAATGTCACTGCAAGGCAGAGATGTTGGTTGGTCACCACGGGAAGTTCTTCTAGTTCTATAGGTGGTACGCTTTTGCGAATTGTTCTTTCAGCCTACCTAAATTATCCTTGAATTGTCATACTAATGTCAAAGGTCAGGATGAGGCAGGACAGTGGAAAAATGGAAAAAGATGGCAAGGAAAGAAAGCACACACAGTTTATGTCTGGGAATTATTTACCAGTGATTGTGTGTAGTAACGTTCTCTTTCATAGCATAATGTTTGCATTTTTGCTCCCTCAGAAGGATGGTCTTCAGTGGGATATAATGAGTAGAATAAAGATTCGGGTATTTGGTAAAAAAACAAAAACAAACAAGCAAAAACCCCCAGCAATTTGTCTACCTTAACCCCCACATAAAATAGTACCCTTAGCTACTATTTTGCAACTCACAGAGTTACCCACTAATTATTTAAGCAGGTACTACAAACTCTCTGACACATAAAGTACTTCTTTACAAAAATGCTTCACCAAGATCCTAAACTCACTCTTGTTAGCGTAAAAGGCTCAGTCTTGTTTTCCGATTTTCACGATAGGAAAGTAATATATAAAGGTTTTAAAATCTCTCAATCCCAGATAATTAAGCATTTGATCTAATTTCAGATGGATTTTAACAAAGATTTAAATAAGAAAAAATAAGTTACATCCTTCTATTGTTTTCCTCTTAACTAGCCATGGAAAGTTCCTTTTCCACTGTGTAATCAGAAAAGTTCTAGATTGTCTGTTTTACTAAATTATACCTTAAATTCAGCCAGAATTATTCCAAAAGAACACTAAACTGATTTAGATGTAGAAAATTTTCAATGTAGGGGTGCCTGGGTGGCTCAGTCGTTAAGCGACTGCCTTCGGCTCAGGTCATGATCCCAGGGTCCTGGGGTCGAGCCCCACATCGGGCTCCCTGCTCAGCGGGAAGCCTGCTTCTCCCTCTCCCACTCCCCCTGCTTGTGTTCCCGCTCTTGCTGTCTCTCTGTCTAATAAATAAATAAAAATCTTTAAAAATTTTTTTTCAATGTAATATTCAAGCATCATAAATTCATAAATTCAAAGCCAAAGCTACTATCAACGTTTTGTAGTCAAAACTGAGTAACTTTTCAGTCGCTATTTTGCTACAGTTTATATAATCTCTTTCCTTAATCCGTGAGAATTGATATTTTTTCAAGTTGGTGAGAAATGCAAATTTATAACCAAAAAGCAAAACACACTCTAAAGATCAGAGGGGGAAATTTCCAACAGTTGAGGGATTTACCATGTCTCAGGATGGGCCAAAAGTACAATAAAAGTCTGTCTTAAAGGCTTGGCAGTGCTACATGCTACCTAATTCTACATTCCTGATAAGCCTAACAGCAGTTCTTCTGTCCATGTCCGAACCCAAACCCTTACTTCCCACTGAGGGCATGATCCCGTATCATTACTCTAAACCCTGAATCTTTGGAGAGCAAACAAGCTGGTTGGCCTAACACGTTTGCTTCTATGTGGGAAGTTTCCAAGATTAATGTACTATGTAAATAAATTAAGGACTCTGGTCAAAGTAATTCAGTTTTGCTGTTCAAAGCAAGGATATAGCAAAACTGCCATCAGTCAAAAACAGGGGCGGGGCGGTGGGGGGGCGGAGAATCCACATAGTTAAAAAACCAAAACCATACATTAAAGCTCAAGCACTAGCTCCTCTCTTAGAATGTATTTATTTTTAAGCTAGACACAAATTTGACCAAATGCTTTTCCAGTCCTAGGCAGGCGGTTTTAGAAGCAACGAAGAACGAAACTCATTAAAAGCAGCCACATTTATTTTAAAAACTAGTCTGAGGCAAGTAGAGAGGTAACAGCCTTCCACACTGGGGCAAGATCGAAGGATATCCCCGTACATAAACATGGTGCCCAGTCAAAGGATGAAGACATCAAATCTTCGTTTACGTCATACCATATGCCAAAAAGGATTGAAATACGTATCTAAGAGGGCAGGACAATTTTTATCTAATACAATTAAAACATGAAAGACTACTTTAGTGCATGTGGGCGCACAACTACTCACCATACCAAAACACACTGCGACACCCTAAATCTCAGGCCTTCGGTGTTAGGACATGTTGGTGTTATCTAATTCATAAGGAAATTGGAATTTTTTTTTTTTTTTTTACAATGAAGATCGCCAAATCAAGAATCCACTCACTAGCCAGTGGGCAACTGAGGAAGTTATCTGGAAAATTTTAAGGATTTTTTTTTTTCAAGGCTGGAATGCCAGGCCCGAAAGCACCACAGACAAGGCCACCTGGGACATCTCCCTCTGCTCACTGAGTGGCATTGAAAGAGCTGCATTATTTTTATCCTGAGATTAAAAAACTGACAAGACCAGAAACTCAGTCAGGGTGACGTCAGTTACTTTAATACTGATGCGGGTAATGCCGGTCCATACATTGGCAAGGGGCGGGGACGGTTACAGAAACCTTTATGACGAGGCAGAGTCCATCCGCATGCATGTAGGTAGATAGATGCCTTTAAGACATGTTAGTATTTCTCTTTTATACTGATAGCCGAGAAACTGCAGTAGCTAACCTTCTGTTGCTTAAAGTGTTTCCCAGAGAAGGATGGTTAAGGGAGTGCTCAAAATTCTCTTTAAACCTTTTTGGTTACATCATGCAGAAAGACTTGATTTGGTGCTTACATGTCTTTTTACCCTTACCTAATAGTATTTATTAATCACACTTCTTAAAAAGGGAGAACAGACTGGAGGCTGTTTCCACAGCAATCCTCCATAGCTAGAATTCAGTAACGTTGCTTTGTTTTCATTGTATTTTAAGGTAATCCAGTCAAAGTGATACTAATTTTCCACTCCCCAAAGTGATATGCCGTCTTTTAAAAATAAATTGGCATCAAAGAGTTGTTTTAAAGAAAAGTTTTAAGTAATACTTTCAAATATAAAATTAGAATGGGATGTGGACATGGCGAAAATCAAGCAAGATCATTCTAGTGTCTGAAGTTTAAGAAAACCCTGTTTGGAAGTCCAGTTACTAGTTACGTGAACTAAACACCGTTCTTTCATAAACTCAACAATTAGTAAGCTTGTGACCTGGAGAACTCTTTCCTAACAATGTCAAGCGATGTGAATAGTAACAACCATGTCTTTGGCATAACCGTATCTTAAATCACTCGTTTTACAGTTGAACAAACTCCAGGCCAAGGAGGAAGACAAGCCAGCCAGCTGAGACCCCAGAGAAATCCGCATCTCTGGAATCCTCAGACAGGGTACCGTCCTGCCCTCACATATAGGATATGATAAAGGAGCTTTGGTCTCTCTAATTGATGTATAGAGTTTAGGTAACATAATAAGGGTAATTCCAAGATAACTCACACTTTACTTAAAATAGATTTTCAATGACATCAAACTGTAAGCACTTGATTCAGGAAGGGCTGAAGAGCAGTCTGACTTATTTCTACCCCCACTGCTCCTTGAAGACGGGCTCCTCTCCATTTCGGGTGGGGAGGGGGGCGGGTGGCGATGAGGATAGATCCTTCCAAGGAAGCCACCTACTGGGCATATAAAAAGGACAGGAGAGCTGTTTTTTCTAGCTCCCTGCAGGGATATTTTGAAATTCTGTTATTTTATCCGTTCTCTTTTTTTGTTTGCATCCAAGCAACAGAATGAGATATCAGTTCATTTAAAGTTATGACCAAAGGCTCCAGCTGACCCACAGTTCTGACTGGCCTTCCTGGTCCACTCTCCCACTGTCCTCAGGGCTATTTCGAACATCCCTCCCCCTTCCCCATCTCAGGCCTTCAATGGGGAAAGTGGAAGCTGTTGAGAGAGAATGCTCTCATTTTCCCCAATACCAAATCTAGTGAGCTATCTGCATTCACACCTGGTCACTTCCAGAACCTAAGCACCATCCAGTTACAAAGATCTGTATCTTGTCTTGATCCCTGTTTTATTCCCGAGGACCTAAAACAGTGCCTTGTAATAGGTGGACAATAAATATTTTAATAAATGAGTTAAAACACCATCTTCCTTCTTGACACGTGAACTGGAACTGTCCCTGTGCCCATTTGAGATGAACCCCTCTTGAATGTGAGTTCTCACTCATTCCCACTTGCCTGCCTATTCAGATTTCAGTCCCGCAATAAGCCACTTCTCCTGACAGCATGTATCTGTCCCCTTCTAATGGAATTTTCCAGTCTGCATATGATCATGCTATATTGTCTCCTTGAGTTAAAATCCTCCCTTAGCTCAGCCACACCTCAGCTCCAACCATGCTCCACTTTACATCAAAACGAGTTGTCCGCAACTGCTGGTTCTACTTCTGTCCCCTTCTGCTCACAACTCACTCCAAGCAGTTCTTCATCCCCAAACTCAGAGCCTGTTAACTTGGAAAAACCCCGAACATAGTGGCTAATTCGGTCATCTTGAGAGGCACTTGAATGACCATTCCCTTCTTGAAACACGTCACTTTTGTTCTAGTGTGCCACATTTTTCTGCTTTATCTGAGAGATTTGGAAGTCTCCTTTGCTGGCTCCCCCTTCCACATGCTGGGTGTGCCCCAGGACCCACCCCACCCTCTTCTGGGTCCACACGGTTGCACCTCAAACCATGGGTCCCAGAGCCAGCAGCATCAGCCTCACTGAAGAGCTTGTTAGACATGTAGCACCTCAGGCCCCACACCAGACCTACTGAATCCGAATCTGCATTTTAACAAACAGGTGACTCTTAGGCACATTAAAATTTGAGAGGCACTTATCTGTTTACAAGTGATTTGTCACATGCCTTTAAACTCTTATCGGCTAATTCCCAAATGTTTAACTCCTGTCCCTCCCTCAATTCCATGCTGGATCCCAAATCTTTAGCTCCTGGCCCCTCCCTCAATTCCATGCTGGATCCCCTGAGAAATCAGGTATCTCAAACCCAAATGCAAACAGAAATCTTGATTTGTCCCCTCAAGCCAAAAAACCTAAGAGTCACCCTGGTCATCTCTTTGCTTTCCGATTGCTGGGCCAAAATCCTTCCGCTGGCAGGATCTTGAAGACATAAGAAGAGTCCTACCACTAGCCACCACTTCCACAGCTACCGCCCTGGTCTAAGCTACCAATATTTCTGGTGCGAAGACTTCTAAGAGTCTCCTGATACTCCCTATTTTCACCAAGCCTCCCTATGACACATTTTGCATGCAGCATGATCAGAGCGATCTTCAAAGAACTCTTCAATATAAACCCTTCCCCAAATTTTCTTCCGTGGCTTTCGAGAGCCCTTGTTTTCTAGTCCCTCCCACACTGTGTCAAGGGCTCTCATCAAACCGGCAAGCTTGTTTGACTCCTCCCTTCCTTTAAATCTTTGCCTTGCTCACTTACTTCTTTTCCCTCTGGTCTCAGCTCAAAGATCACTTCCTTTAAGACTTTCTTTAATCACCATAATTAAGACTCACCTCCCTTCCCATCCATTTTGTTACTCTGCTTTCCTCCCCTCTAACAGTTACCTAGCATTACACACATTTGACTCCCCATCAAAACGTCTGGTGCATGAGCAAGGACTTTTTCTTTTGAAACCGCCACTGCTTAGAACAGTGCCCAGTACACAAGAAGCACTCAAGTGTTGAGTCTTCAAGTGCTGGCAGACCATTGGGGGCAAGGGACAACCTCTTGTGCATGTATCAGAACTTCTATGTGCTAGAGAGTCGTATAAATCTGGATGTAGAGAAGTCACCCACAGTTTACAATAGGCTCAAATTTTCATAATACGGCAGTTCTAAAAAAACTTTTCTGTAGATTACAATCACCTGGAGATTTAAAAAAAATTCTCCGAATAGATGTTCATATATCCATCAATATGCTTATCCTTAAAATATCAGCCACATTCCAAATGAATTAGATCATGATTGTTGGGTGTGAGACACAGGTATCTACATTTCTTGAAGCTTTTGAGGTAATTCAAATAGGAGACAAGTTTAGGAACCACTGGTTTATAGCATGAGTTGATAACCATGGTATGAGACAGTATATGAAATCTAGAATCTTAAAAAAGAAATCCTAGTCAAAATGTTATGCAAACTTAAGACTTCTATTTCCTGTGTGGTATAGAAAAAAAACAAAAAAATTCATAAAAATAAAACTGTCTCAAACATTAGGTCTTAAAGAGAGCACATCTTCCAGGATTTTCCGTATCTGTTTTCCTATCAAGCCTAATATAAATTTGGGTACTTCTATTATGAAGTTTTTCTTTTCCTCATATGCTGAGGGAAATTTAATGTACATCGTCACAGCTGAAAGCTTTTGGAGACTGTGCACATATGGATATTTTTAATGGTGTCAGGTAAATAACTCTATCGTGGTAATGAGGATGTAATCACTAAGACAAAATGCTGTATTCTCAAGAGAGAAAAAAATTTTTTTACAACTCAACTATGTTACAATAAAATAAATTCTTCATCATGCTGTCTGATATTTCTCGCTCAAGAAGCAACATAACCAACTGCTTCCAGTCATCAAGCAAAACATCCTTAGGATAGAAGTTAATCAAGTATTGTGCATTTACCTGTCTCAAAGATCACCTTTAAACTGTCTTCACAACTCAGAATGAAGGACAAAATTTAAAAAAGAGAAAAACAAGTCATTTGATTATTAAAATCCTCACTATAGTGCAATTAACTACGGATCTCAAAAGAACCCTGGAGATATTTAAGCCAACCTCATATTACAGATGAATAACCTGACACCCAGAGGAGGTGAAGTAACATGCCTAAAAGTCACACAGGAGAGCTAGAAGAGGAAAAAAAAAAATTTTTTTCTCTTTTTCCAAACAAGCAGACAGAATTTTTCACATGTTAATCAAAAAAGAATCAAGATCATCAGATTAGGGAGAAATGAGGAATAAAATGTATGTTACACATAGATTTAAAGGACTAGTTAATCTGATGCCCCCTCCCCCAAACCAAAAAATTCTCCGAATAGATGTTCATATATCCATCAATATGCTTATCCTTAAAATATCAGAATCTTGGAAAATTCAATTTACAAATACATTATTAATTGCATTGTTATAACGAAATTAGTTCATTAAACGTGAAAACATCAAACAGCACCAATACCAGAAAGTTAAAGTGAATACACTATTACTTAAAATAATATATAATCACTGATTGGGACAGAAATCAACTATAGCCACTAGAAAACTATTTAAACTCCTGTTTGACATAAAGGCAGTATTTAAAGACTAATGTATGCCCTTTTTCCCACTGACAGGCCTGTGGCTAGGCATCGTAGCAGCGGGTTACGTGGAAAATGTTATTAAATAAGATGCGTTTTTTAAATTGCTCAACCTTGAACCATGATACTACATAACCCCATATTTTCCAATATAAGCCAATGGCACCATTTTTGGTATCCTAACTACGCTTACCTGTCCCAATTAAAACAAAACACAACTCCCTTATTAAGCACTAGATTAAATGTATCTATGATGCAGCCGCAAGACATTTACAAATGGGCTACTGACAGTGTATCAAAATGCTACTAAGGAAAATACAGCAGCAAATACTCTAGTAAGAGCACATTATTCCACATGGAATCCCAAATTATTCTTATCTCTAGCTCCTTAAATTCTTGGAAGACTAGAGATGAACAAGTGTATGTATAAATGGGGCTAGGGAGAAAGAAGCTCTAAATGTAGTGTTCATATTGTAAATTACCCAAGATAATCTGAATGCTTACAGAGAACTCCAACTACACCTTAATTTGTTAAAGCCCAGAGAACTAATAATGCTAGCAAAACTTTGGTGTTTACCCAAAAAACAGCATTGTAGTTTTAAATGAAAATGAAATAAGCATGGTTTGTGAAGTTTTTATAATGTTCACACCACCCTCTCCCTATTCCCTGCTCCTTTCATCAGGTGATCTAAAGACTACCTGGTTTAAAATATTTGGTAATTCAGTGCAGAAAATTAAGGTCACAGACAAAGTACAACAACTTTTAATACACCATTAATACTAATGATTAAAAATTATTGCATAGTCTTATGCATTTACCCTAAAACATTTTCCGAAAGTAAATTCTGAAAGAATTATATAAAAGACAAATAACCTTCTAAAACGTGGATGGCATTTACTACCTCGATCTTCTATCCTTTTTTGCCTTGTCAGTACTTTTGTCCATTGTTTTCTCATTATCTCCCCTGCACTTTGGGCAATACCACTTCCCCTTTGGTTTATAGGTAAGCGAAACACATGAAAAGTGAAACCATTCAATTGGACACTGTTCATTGTCACATCCGATCATTTCCCCATAAGACACTTGGTTACATAAACAGTATGTAGGTTCATTGGGATCGATTGCAAACTCAACAGGCGATGCTTCCCTTTCCTGCTTGGCCTTGGAGCGTTTCTTTTTCTTGGCTGACTTGGATTTCTTTTCTTTAGGTGGCTGATCATCACAGTCTTCAATCCCATTCGTCATGTGACATAAATCACGGCTTTCACTGGTTCGCTGTCTGCGGGGTCTTCTTGAAGATCTTTCCGGTTGGCTGGAATCCATCTTTGCCTTATCCGAGGCCCGTTCACCTTCAGCAGGATCTTGAAAACACTGTGAATGCAACTCCATTTGCCTTGCCCGATTTTCCACCAATTCGAGCATCTGTGTGACAATCTGAATTTTTTCATCTCCCAACTCTTGACTGTTGATTAATGCTCTCTGGAGATGTTGCTGTAGGCGTTTTTTCTGGTTTGAATCATCTTCTTTCTTATATTTTTCATAGACATCATCAATTTCCTTTAATGTTTCTAAAAACGTAAGAGAAAAATCAGAACATTTGTGCATTAGCACATATAATATTTTTTAAGTTAGTTATCTTTCACAGAACTGGTAAAGTTGAATGAACTCAAATCATAAATCACACTCCTCTTGGTATGTATACATTGAAAAACATTATTTCCCATAGAAAGACCGTATGTTATCCAATATGAAAGTATATTTAGAAATAAACTAATAAGAATACAAAGTTTTCTTTTTTAAAATTATTTATTTTTTTTACAAAGCTTTCTAATACTCAGTCTATATTAAAAAGGATAAGAGGAGTGCGTGGCTGGCTCAGTTGGTAGAGCATATGACTCTTGATCTCGGGGTCATGAATTCAAGCCCACATTGGGTGTTGAGCTTACTTAAAAAAAACAAAAACAAAAAACTGGGGCATCTGGGTGGCTCAGTCGGTTGAGCATCTGCCTTCGGCTTGGGTCATGATCCCATCGGGCTCCTTCCCAGGGGTGGTGGGGGGGGAGCCTGCTTCTCCATCTCTCTCTGCCTGCAGTTCCCCCTGCTTGTGGCTCTCTCTCTCTCTGTCAAGTAAATAAATAAAATCTTTAAAAAAATTTTTTTAAAAGGATAAGAGATGTATGTATTAATTAATACTCAAAGTATTTTACATGGGCAAGAACATTGTATGCCACTTTATGGTCTACCTAGTGAAGTCACTTATACGTCATCTGAACCTCAAAACAACCTGTAATAAAATTTACATGCCAGACTTCAACTGTAAAACTTAGAGAGGTTCTAAAACTAAGCTACAGATGACTATCCATCTGTGTTTACAGGATTTACAGTTCAATCAGTGACTTGCTACATGACTCCAGAGAGACATTCACCTTGATGTTCATATCATATCCCTGGGCACTCTTAAACAAAGCAGACACAAGTAACTCTTCCCACCATATTAGTTTCAATAGCTCATTTATTTTTATCATATGGGAGATTCTGAAAACCAAACTATTTCCAGGGTAGGTTTAGGTTCAGATTCTGGCATCAACTGACTAAGCTACTAATAAAATTACAGTAAAGTCAGCAGTGGGGCACTCTGCTTTTGTAGATAACTCAGCAGTTGGTTTTAAGCTTTTTAAACTGCTGATTTCGGTATTGTATAGCATGTGGGACACATTTAAATCAATTAAAAATGTCTGAGTCACTAGATGGTATACAAAAATCTGAAAATATAGTTCCAGATGTCACAAAAAATTTACGTAAGATTAGTTTTTTATTCAAATCTGTTCTATTTCTTGTCCTTATGAGATAAAGCTATCTAAAGGAGAGTTCTGTCTTACTTAAGGTGGAGAAACAAAAATTAACTCTAATTTACCACACCACATGGCGTATCATTATATTCTAATAGTACTACCAGCACGTGGCATACCATTGTTTTACCTTCTAATATTATTACTCTAATGATAACAACAGAAATGTTAGAGGAGTAAAATGTGTACACTACGGCTGTCTGCAAGAAAGGTTAACACAAAGCAGGTCTTCAACACGACTCTTAGGCATTAACTCCTCCCTAGAAATTAAACATACTCACACTTGATGGACAATGGCTTAACCTGGGATACATGACAAAGTGCCACCACACATTTGAGGGTACTCATACCTGCACAGTATATTTTAAAACAAAGTTCATATCTAGCCCATTTGCCCAGCTAGGTATGTAAGTGGTTTTCTTAAGAACATAATTTTTCTCCAGGAAAAATAATTACATATTTTCCCCTCAGACACAAAACTTGAGGATTAAAAAATAAAGGTAAATCTTATTTTAAATATTCTGTACCTAACTATCAGGAGTTAGATGCTAATTATAGTCTATCATCCAGGCACACTGATACTGTGTATGAGAAGAATTCTTATTTCTAAGACTCCTTAATTACATAATGAAAGAAGAAGAGAAACTAACACTTACTAAGCCCCTTTTATGCGATAAAGATTTTCTCATTTAATCTCCAAGGCAACCCCATGAGGAAGCTATCACTTCTATACATGAAGAAAATGAAGTTCAAGAGGTAACAACCCCTGACTTTGAACTCTGCCAGACATGTATGTCTGGCTCCGCCGTTTAAGCACTTTCTACTAGCTGCATGGAAGCCACCTGAAATTATTAATTTTTAGTTCAATGGTTATTTACCCAAGCAATTATGAACAAGAATATAGGAACAAAAACTGAGGCTCTCTAATAACCATATCCCATAATAAATACTTCTTTCAAATGTGAAACTGTTGTCTTCATTTCTCTATTTTCATTTTTTTAAAGATTTTATTTATTTATTTGACAGAGAGAGACACAGCGAGAGAGGGAACACAAGCAGGGGAAGTGGGAGAGGGAGAAGCAGGCTTCCCACGGAGCAGGGAGCCCAATGCGGGGCTTGATCCCAGGACCCTGGGATCATGACCTGAGCCGAAGGCAGACAGACGCTTAACGACTGAGCCACCCAGGCGCCCCAAAGCCGTTTCTCTATTTTTAAAAGTTTCTAATTCTTCAGTAATTTCTCAAAGTGTCTCAAATAGGTAGGAGAGAAACTTTTTTGATTTCCTGTATAATTTATATCACTAAATACTGCAGGAAGTATTAAATCCAAAAACAGAAAATACTTAAGAACTAGCAAAGAAATAAAAAGCATATGAAATCTGAACCAAGAACACACAAGTATATAAAGCTAAATTATGGAAGTGGAGCTTAGTAAGCATGGGCACAGACTGAAAACTAGATCCTTCTTCTATATTAATCTTGAAATAACCAATCTTAATGGAGCTGAAAATGTTTATAATCTCTCAATCTTTTAAAGCCTAATACTGTTTCTCACGCTAGTAGGGCTGCTTAGGACAATTCTAGATGGTCAAGATGGCAGATTTCCCTGTAACCGATTTTCCCTCCCAAATTCAAATGAAAATAGCTTAATTCTTTTAAAGGCAAATATGTGTCTTTAAGGAAATGTAAAACCATGCAGGATTTACAAACGTCAGAGTCACCATTTGAAAAACTAAAAGTGCTCAATATACAGCACATATGTATCATTTTTAGCCTACAATTCAAGTATGTGCTCCATGTCTGTAGAAAATACCTTTGGAGAGTTTTTACTAAGTAAGTTTTTATAAAAAGTTAATAGTTAAGAAAAAAAAAAAAAAAGGATGTGCGCATGAAGTAGCCAGCCTACTTCCCCACCTAGTTATTTGAACCAGTCACTTAAATTCCTTGTAAAACTTGTCTGTAAAATATATTTTTACTTCATAGGATTATTGTGAGATAATGTTCTGGACCTGGCACAGTGATGACACACAGTAAGTAAACACTATTTAATTCTCTTTCCCCCAAAAGAGATTAGTCTTATCAACAACCCTATCATATGGGTTCGGAAGTTAGAAATAAATTACAGATTCGAAAACACAGAAACAATTAAATATTCTTAACATGCTACAGGCCAGACAATGTCACCCCAGAAGTGGGTTCCTTTGAGACTAAACCATAAGAGTAGTGATGGGTCTAGAAAAAGAGAACGGGGCCCAAAAAGTTATCTTTTTAAAGTCCGTACGGCTGTTTCCACATTATGTCCAAGGTCTGGTCCTTGATCAGGCTTATTAAACGCAAAACGGTTCCCCATTTAAATTTCTCCCCTCCTAGTAGTACACGAAAGGTCCACCAATAGTGGATGATAAATGATACCCTCTGTAGGAAAAGACTTGATTCCCTGTCTTAGTTTTCTTGGGTCTGACCACAAAGGGTGGTTTTTGCCTCATCACTCAAACTTGGCGAAGGAGGGACCCATGAGTTAAGGGACGCCAGGCGGTTGCCCAGTCAACCACCCACTTCCACCCGGGGCCCGGAAATGACGCAGGCCCGGAACCTACGCGGTGCTAGGGTCAGCGACGGTCCTAGTAGCTGAGCGTTTCTTCGTCCTGATTGAGTGGTGGAGAAAGGGTCGAAAAACCACGACAAACACGTTCCAAACCTCAACACTGACTCTGCTAGGAAAGAACTAACGTTCCGCAGGCTTCCGACACCTTCCCACCAGCCAGCTCCGCCCAAACCTTCCGGGGACCAGCCATTTTCGAGGCGGGCGGGAGCGCGCCCGTCCACGCCCCTCCCATGTTCTACGTCACTCCCTCAGGCCCCGCCCCCAGGGACAGCAGGCCCTCCCCGCCACACACACGCCCCTCTTCCTTTCCCCGCGGGGACCCCTCCCCTTTTAACCATTTGGCTGATGGCGCTCGGGAAAGGCTGCGGCCCGGAACTTTCCCTGGGGCGGGAGAAGGGAACGTACTCCATTCCCGAGCCGGGAGCCGGAGAGCCGAGGGAGGGACCTCCCCAGTCCGCCTTCGCGGCCCTCTCCTGCCCCCTCCCCCCCGCACGTTCCAATGCATCTGCTCTCGGGGTGGGGGCCGGAGGGGGGGTTGGGGAAAGCCAGGCCCCGGAGACCAGCGGGAGCCCGGCTGCGGCCGGCCGCTCACTCCCTACAGCCCCCCGCCCGCTGCACGCTCCCTGGCCGGGGCAGAAGGGTCTGCGGCACGGGGCAGACAAGCGCCGGAACAAATGCTGCTTAAAATGGCTGATTCCTCTCCACACCAGCTGCAGCCGCTGGGTCTGCAGCGGGGGCTGACGAGCGGCCCCCACCCCCACCCATGATACCCCACAGAAATCCTCGCCGACCGCAGCGGGGGTCAGGGAGGGCCGCGAGCCCGGTCTCCAGTCCCTCTCTTCCGTCCCACACACCAGACCCCGTCTGTGCACTCGGGGAGACTGTCACAGGAGAAATGGAAAGTGGCACTTCACCCGGCAGGCTCCGAGCGACAGTGCCCGGAGGCCAGCGAATCCGACTGAGGGGAGGACCCGCACAGGCGGCCCCGCGGCCCCCTACCTTGATATTTGTTGTCCAGCTCTCGAAGCACAGACACGTTCCTCTGCATGTCGTGGGGCAGCGACTCCACACACTCGAGGTAGTCCTGCACGTAGCAGGTGAGGAGCCGGCTCCGCTCCCCGGTCAGGAGCGCGGCCGACGAGTATAGTTGCTGCTGCTGCTGCCCTAACATCCTGCCGCCGCTGCTGCTCCTCGCCGCCGCCGCCGCCGCCGCCTCCGCATCCAGCAGCCACACATGCAACAGCCACAGCGGCCGCGGCTCCTCTGCTGGGCAGCCCGGCGCCGCGGGGACACCGGCAGCCGCTCAAGAGGGCACAGCCGAGTCCCCCGATCTCCACTCCCCCCAAAAGAAGCCCTCACTCCCCGCCCCCGCGGTAACAAGCCCAGGGGCGGGGCGAGAACAGGGCTCCCTCCTTTTTCCCCTCCCTCCCCAGGACTAGAGCAGCGGGGATCCCCCGGCGGATCTGGCGCCGGGGTCCCGGGCGTTGACACTTCCCGTCCCCCTCGGAGTCCCCCGATGCTACCAATGCCGTCTCGTAGCACAGATCCCCATGACAAGCCCCTCGCTGCCCCCTTTCCTCCCAATCACCCTCCGTGCCTGTCGGAGAGTCTCTCACTGGACTGCCCCCGCCCCTCCGCCTGCGGCCGCCTCTGCGCCTGCGCAGGACTTACTCCTAATAAGGACGGGGGCCCGCCCCTACCGCCCTACCGAAGGGTTCGCATTCTCCCGCCTTCCCACCGCCACTCGGGCGATTGGTCTGTCAACTCTCGGCCCGGGGGGAGGGTGCGGAGGACGGCCAAACGGCAGGCTGCGCCCCGCCCCCTCTTAAAGGAGAAGGACTGTCAAGCCCACCTCTTTGCTCAATGTCTGAATGGGACTTGGGAGGGAAGGTGGCTGGCTCCTTCCTTCCGCCTTTCCCACAGGGAGGGGGAATCTCGGTCCAACTCCCTCGGCCCGGTGTTACCGACATTTTCCCCATCAGGTGGCTCTGGCGCGGCAACTCGCGGGGCTTTAAAAGAGCAGCAGGCGGCCGGCCGCTTTTCGCTACAACCTGGAGTAAGGCCGGCGGGAACTACGCGACCCAGCGTGCAGCGGGCGCGGCTCCCGGCATGCTCGGCGGCTCTGTTCCCGCCGATCCGCCGCGGTTCGCCCGGCCGCCGCTTCAGCCCTGTCCGCGGGCCCCGGCCCTCCTGCGGCGGCTTTCGGGGCTCACGGAGCGCCGGGAGGGGTGGGGGTGGGGGTGCTGGTCGCCGAGGTAGGCGGTGCTCCCGCGGGCCCCCTGCATTTTCTTTCTCTTTTAGTCGGCTCGCCTTTTAAATCTCCCTCCTGGCTCTTAGCATGTTTCCGCCCTTCCTCATATGCGGGGGGGGTCTCCCGCCGCCGAAGTACCTTGCAGGTTTTGTCCACCTTCCGGCTCTTAAGGAATCCTCCGTTTAGTTTAGTCTGCCTCTGCCCCAGAAACGTGTTTGTCCAACACACAACCTTTAAAAAGGATTTTACCCCCTCCGGTGTAAGAACGTTTAAGCATTAGACGTCTGCGCGGGCTTAGAGGCAGGAGGAGCGCACCACCCCCTTTTCATCTCTTTTTACCCTAAGACTGAAAACGGCTGGGGGCCGGGGGCCGGGAAGAAGGGAAATGAGGATAAAAGCCTAATCAGTAATCGGGCCCACGTCCTTATCTATGTGATCGACTTTCAGGGCTTAATTTTTGTGTCGTGTTAAATGAAACGCTCAGCAGAGGTGCTAATTTTAATGCCAGCCTGACTCTCCGGATGTAATAACATTTGTTTTTGAAAAAAATGGCTGTAAATAGAACGAATACGCGGAGAATTTTAGTGGAATGCCTATGAAAACAAGTCCTCTTCCGAGTAGTACCTTTGAGTTAAAAAGGAAACGTAAGTGGATTTCTCCCTTCTATCCAGTTGGTTCGCAGGGGTGGTGCACCTGTGTGGTGACCTATTTAGAGCACTTTTGAAAACAGTAGTAGAAGTAACCATTGATGTGCAGCGAGAAGTCTAGACTTTGATCTACAGGAAATTTTAAATTGTAAGCCAAAACAAAGCCCTCCAGAAAATTCGGCATCTTGGTAACAACAAAAATATTGCATGGGACTCGGAGATTGTCTGGTGTTGTTATCCTGTGACACTTTTGGGGTTTTGACTCCTTGAATATTAAATCAACCAAGGCAGTACGGTGTGGTTTGTTTCGGAGAACCGTCTCGGGATTTCACTGTCATTCTTTAAATCCTTCAGATTAAACAGCCAGGTTTTGTCAAAAACCAGTCACTGTTAAAAATGCAATTTTATTGCTTTTTACCTGAACCCTACTGTTCTTGTTTACTAATGGGTTTGATTCAGGTAGTCTTTATTGGAGGCCCAAAATAATGTAAGATGCCTTTTTTACTGATTTAGGTTAGGCACTGAATGTACCTATGGATTTTATTCAGCCTGAGAAGTAACCTGCAGGCACATAGGACACGTGGTCTGAACCTAGCAGTAAGAAAGCAGAGAGATGCAGAATACTTAAGACTACTGCCTCAAGGAACCTAGAGCAAGAAGCGAGGAAAGGAGGCTGAGTATGATAATGGAGATCTTTTATACATTATTTTCACCTTTCATAACTGTTGAACAGGCTGAAAGGAAGCAAAAAATCCAAACAGTGATTTTTCAGCTTGTGTTGGACTACGCCTATAAGAACAGTGTAATATGGGTGTGTGTGTATGAATATTTCAGATGTGCTTTTTTTGCTATATTTATAAAAAAGGCTTATTCCTGCCATATTTATGAAAGCACACTGTGGGGGGGGGGGGAGAAGAGTACTTACATGGAAAAAAAAAATCACCATATTCCCTAAACTCAACTCGACCGTTGGTTATTTATCATGTTCTTTTCTTCTCAGTAACCACTTAACTGGACATTTGGGGGCTTTTCAAGGCTTTTTTGCCTTGCTGAGCCAAATGTGAAATTTTAAAGCCCCCAATTCTCGGCAATGTAGAAATTAATTAGTGATTTACTCTGATAAAGCAAAAAGGCATCTTATTTACTTTTTAAAATATTTTCTACCATAAAGTAACCCTAAAAAAGATAGGTAACCCCCAAATTAGTAGGAGTGTCTGGGATTACCTGTAATTTCAAAATCCGTTTCTTTTAAGAGGTCCCTGGTGGGAAGTGTTTATGCCTCTAAACCTATGTCTTGTAGCCCTTATTTATATTGTGAGAGGGGAGGGCAAAGCTTCAAACTCTCATTGAAAACAAACTAACAGATAGTTCTGAAGGATTCCTAAAGATACTCCTGAGAAAATTCAGCTATTGCTTAAGTCAGGCCAATTAAATTTGAAATGTTTTTTTTCTTCTTAATGTTTTGTAAAACTTCTTAATTACAGAAAATTTCGAACATGCATAGGAGTAGAGCTAATAGGGATGCCTGGGTGGCTCAGTCAGTTAAGTGTCTGCCTTCTGCTCAGGTCATGACCCCAGAGTCCTGGGATTGAGTCCCGCATCCCGCTCCCTGCTAAGTGGGGAGCCTGCTTCTCCCTCTACCTGCTTCTCCCCCTGCTTGTGTGCTCTCTCTCTCTAGCAAATAAATAAAATCTTTAAAAAAAAAAAAAAGAGTAGAGGTAATAATACAATAATCCCAATGCCCTATTCACCCAGCTTGAACATACATCAGTATATGTCCAACATTATTTCATCTGTGGCCTTCCACACTTACCTTCCCTTGCTGATTTGTTATATTTTATCTGTAAATACTTTAAATATGGAGGGATAAGAGATAATTTAAAAAAAATCATACCCACAATTCCATTATCCCATCAAAAAGATTATCATTTAATATTCAGACAATTAAAATTTCCAAAATTTCCCTATTGTCTCATTAATATCATTTTACACTTGGTTTAACAGAATCCAAACAAGTTCCACACCTTGCATTTAGTTAGTTAGATCTTTTCTAAACCAGTAAGAGGCAGTTAATTCCCTATTCAATTCAGTGAAGCAAATAGCAATGTTTTTCTAAGGAGGATGTTTGGATAGTTAAAAAGCATTGTTAAAAGTATAAGGAGATTCTAGGAAAGCACTTTAAACAAAAATCCTCATATTAAAAGGTCACCAATTGTTAGCCCACAGTAGAAATGTAATTGTACCTAATGCAAATAAGTAAATCATTACAAATGTAAGAGTTCATATTAGTTTAGAGTATAATTTGTTCTGGAAGATCCAGTGAAGCATTTTATTTTATTCTTTTTTTTTTTTAAAGATTTATTTATTTATTTGACAGAGACACAGCGAGAGCGGGAACACAAGCAGGGGGAGTGGGAGAGGGGGAAGCAGGCTTCCCGCTGAGCAGGGAGCCCGATGCGGGGCTCGATCCCAGGACCCTGGGATCATGACCTGAGCTGAAGGCAGAAGTTTAATGACTGAGCCATCCAGGCACCCCCCAGTGAAGCATTTTAAATTGTAGTGAAAAAAATTAAAACTTTAAGTCAGGTCATTAGTACGATAGGCAACTAAAGCAAGCAGTCTGTCTCCACTGAGGTCAGTTTTCAAGTATTTTTAATTGCTTTATTGCATAGGTAGTACACACTAATTGTATTCAAAAAACAAAATAGAGCTAAAAAGAGGATACATAAAAATCACTACAAACTGGAGATAGCTCTTCTCGGTATCTAAGTATAACCTCAAGATACAATTCCAATTTACTTTTTTGCTTTGAGGAAATACTTTGGCTAGGACTAAAGGATAAAGTTAAGAAAATACCAGATTCTTGAGGTGCAACATTAGAAATATGAGCAGTGTTGGTCTGTACATTTAGTTCATGAGGTAGCACAGATTTAAAATTGGTTGTATACAGTCAGTCCCACTATGGGTTATAGTATTGTTCAGCATTGAGAATGACTACTGTCAGCAAGATGATCACAGCAAAAAATGAAGGGATTATGAATGACTGGGACTGTAGTAAAGAGAAAATTCAGTATCATGAACTATCATTCCCATAGCCAAGAAGAAAAAGCAAACATGTTATCTACTTTGGTTATCTTAGAAAAAATAACACATATGGTATACTTTGCATATTGCTGACCAGAAAAACATTCAGTTTTCCCTAGGTGGTTACCATAGTTACATGAGCTGTTTATAGCATCAAGAGGAGGAACTAGGTCACAGTATTGAAGGAGTTTGAATTATGCAATTATGTTTCCTAAAAACAGGAAGGGGTTTAAATTTTAGGGAAGAGAGATTTATATTTTATGTTCAAAATTGAAATTCTGGTCTAATTTTGCCAGTGAAACTTAAAATTTTGTCCAAAATTAAATAGTTGATACTGTAGGTATAAATTGTTCACTCTATACAAATGCTGTAATTGTGTGTGCTGTAATCCGTAAGTGTGATAAGAGATGCCAATGTATTCCTTGAAGATACTTATTTATCTTAGTGAGCTATCTTATCTTCAAATGTTTTTGCAGGTAATCAGTAAACCCAACAGTAGCCTAGAATCTCAGAGTAGCCAAATCATGTGTAAACTGAAGCTTTGACTTCTTACCTTTGAAATCTTGAGAATAAAGCTTGGTGCAATGCCTGTCAGATGCTACTCTTCACCCAATTTGTCATA